AAATGTAAATGAGAGAGAGCAAACCATGAAGAGGTGAGAGCAAAGTCTGTTAGGATTCCCAGAGTTCAGCAGCATCTGAGCATGGACCAGATGAGGGTTTGCACCCAGCTTGGGCACCAGGGGCTGAATGAAGCCAGCCCATGGAACCAGACACCAGGCTTGCAACCCTCAGCAGCTCCCAATCGAAGACTTGTGAAACTGGTGGGAACCACGGAGCCACCAGCTAATGAAGCAGCTAATGCTCTGACTGTGCAGATGAGGAAGCTGAGGCCCAGAAAAGTGAGGAGTCTGACACAAGGTCACAATTTCTGGCAAAATAGTACAGAACAGCCATCCCTGTCCTGGTCATTGGCTAACAGGCCAGATATTCAGTTGTCCCTGGAATTCCCAGGACCCGTTTCTGTTAGCCAAGTGGTCTAGAACCCAGTCCCAGGGACCATTCCTAGCATCAGTGTAAACCCCTGGGAGGCCCAAGACTCTGTCCTTACTGTTTCCAGCCAGAGCCCTGGAAGGCTCCTCCAAAGCAGTGACACTCATGTTTTTCAACAAGCACCTGCCAGGCTAGGCCCTGGGAGGATGCAAGTTCCTCGCACTACTGTGGCTTCTCTCACAGGCACAGCTGTGCTGGGCCCGCAGAAGCCCAAGCTCAGGGTTGGGGGGAGGGGAAGTTGCTTTGCTACATGGAAAGATTAAGCCCTTTGTCAGAGAACAAGGTCCCACCTTTGGGCATGCCAACATCTGAGCTGCATCTGTGCAGCTCCACCAGCAGAGTTGGTGCTCAAGGAGGCCAAGTCGCTCTCTTTGGCATCACTGACATTGCTCTGAGATGCTCAGGCACTCTTTCAAAATAACCCTTTCCCAGCCAGATCAGGCCAATCTAGACAGCATCAGGCCACATCTGATGGTAAGGGGCTCCCCTGCTCTTCCCTAGTGATTGTTTTGTTTCACCCCAGTCTCTCCTGACCTGGGTGAGAAGCAGACTGGAGGGAAAAGGCAGGGGACAAGTCTACATTTCTATCTCCTCTCTGATCATCCAGTGAAAGACAATCCAGCAGAGGGAGCAGCATTCTGAAGAACCTCTGTACACATCAGGACATTGGAGAAGACAACTGAGGAGAGGAAGAGAAAGGTAGGAGGAGGCAGGGATGCAGGCCTTTTCTTTTCCACCTCCCTGCAGCCACAGCAGAAATGCCGCCAGACAACCTTTTGGCCCTGAATGAAGTGCCATGTCTCCCCACCCAGGTGGAGAGCAGCTCATCCACAACATCAGGCAAAGGCAGCAGTTTCTTGCACAGAGTTTGCACAGTGCTGGAAGCAATCAGAGAAACACAGAAGAGCAGACTTACTAAGACCCTACTGCTTTCTGGGCTGAGGGCAATGGGAAACATGAGGTATTGGGCAGTGGAGCTCGGCATCTCCTGGGCAGCAGGGTCTGGAGTGAGGCCCTTAGATGTATCAGGGCTCCTGGTAATGCAGTCTAGGATTGTGCTACATTTCATTTCCAAAGAAGTGCTCTTGGAAGGCTCTATTGTCTTTAAAAATGGAGGCTTCTGCTCTCCTCAAGGCTGGCAGTAAAGAAGAGCCCAGGCATGCTTTCCTGGTAGGAGTCAAGACCCTGGCAGAGCTGGCTTGACCTTAGCACTCCAACCGGCAGTGATTCCACATGTGAGGTGTGATCCAGGTGCCCTCTCTCTGGAACTCTACTAGGTTCTGCCTCTGCCCCATAAAATGCTGGGATTGCCTGGGACCTGCTGGATCCCAGAACCTCCTAAATGCGCCTTTCCTACAAGATCTGGGTGGTAGAAGAGACTGGATGGGGAGGACTTTGAGAGCTGGTTCTTCCCTGAAGGATCAAATACCTCCTGTCAAACCAAGACTTGGCCCATTTACTGGGGCCTACTTCATGGCAAAGGACCATTGCAGACTTCCCTGGAGGGAAGGAGTCTATGAATAAAGTGGAACAGACTGAGCAGAGCAGAAATATGAAGACAGATGCTCTGAGTCATCTATCACAGCCTGCCCACAGCCCAGCATTACTGCAGGGCCACTCCTGTCCTTGCTATGTCCCCAATGAATCTGGCCTGACCAGAGGAGATAAACAACAAAGAACCTTCTCCTGTGACCACTGCCAGGTTTCATTTGGAGTGAGGGGGCATGGGAGTTGGCCTTGCAGTGGGGAGAACTCAGAAGGATCTTGGTCCTTCCTTCTCCACCACTCCCTCCTCAAAGATCTCTCCCAGCCCAGAGAAGGCCTGGAGTCACACTTGTGTACCCTCTCCATAGGACAGGCTAGCTCCAGAGTGGCTTCTCTGGCAAACCTTACATCCAGGATGCTGAAAAACAAATCCTTACATCCAGCCATTTTCCATCACCCATACACAGCCTCATACCACCTTGCCCTCTTTGGGAAAAATCCAGGTGGGGATTAGCAACTTATTTGGTGTGAAGGTTAAAAAAAATAATTTCCCCAAGGTTGATTTTGAGGATTCACATTCCATCAGAAAGGTGGAACTGTGGAATGGCCCCACTCCCGGGCAGTTTTGGCAGCCTGGGATGGTAGGCAGGTCAGCCCAAGTTCCCAGCACAGCAGGCCCCTCTTCTGGCTGGAACTTCCCCGTACTGACTTCCTCCAGAGGCAAGGGCACCAAGGTCTAGAGCTGCCCAAGGGACAGCCTCTCTGCTGGCAGTTCCCACCTTCTCCCTGTGCCTCCCTGGACCCCTAGAAGCTGCACAGTGTTGACAGCCCCATTTCCTGGGAGTGACTCAGGGCCACATCAGAAAATGTCTATGTTCTCCATGGGTCACTCCCCCTACTCCAAAAGTGGATTTTTACAGTATGCAGAGGGTGACAGCTTTAGAGGTGAATACACCACTAACATGGAATGGAAAGAGCCTTTTGCAAGCCAGGTTCTGTCCTGCCTACCCCTTCCCCAACTAGGGTCAAAGAGTACAGAGCCCTCTGCCCCATTTTTAGGAACATGGGAGATGAATGTGTTCCTTCGTCCAAGTGGGACTTAAGAGAGAACTTCTGCCTTAAAAGGAAACTGAGCCTAGCTACTCCTCACCCTCCTCTGTGCAATCAATGGAGCTCTTCTCTGAAAATGCCAGGATGGAGGCTCAGGCCAGAGACAGGTGCCAACTTTGTTTCCCTCCTGCCCTTACATTTTGCCAGGGGCAGGACCTGTGGGGTCCTGGCTTCTTCCCCTCATTTCCTTGGAAGGCTACAGGACTCTGGCTGCAGACCAGGGAGGATCCCTGCCAGACGAGGAGGCCCCTTGGACTGAGATGGCCTTATGCACCCCTTCCCCTTCCCACTTTGGTACAAATGGAATCCATGCACTTTGGCAGAGACCTGCCCACTGCTCTCTCAGTAGCTGTCCCTGAACAGGGCTAGAGGAATGTCAGCACTTGGGGACCAGCTGCGGAAGAGGCAGAAACAAAACTTTTCCTCATACTCTTCTGCCACTTCCTTCTATCAGACATGGACCCAGGTCTGTTCTGCCCACCTCCCAGGCAGCCTTGCCTTTCACTCTAGAGTTGAGGAAGAAGAGGAACAGATATGGCATTCCTGAGCCAGACTTTAGGATTCCCCACAGCCACCTCAGGGTTCAGTTCAGGCACTGGTCCCCACAACAGAGTCTGTAGTCAAATTGAGTCAGAGTCTGAGTGACTGGGTAACATCCCAATCAGACAAAGGTGGGCAATAAAGCAGAGGCAGCTGGGGCGCCCCCGAGAAGGCCACTTCCCAGAGGGCAGCAGGAGCCGCGAGGTGGTGGGGAGGTTGACAGGGTGAGTATTGCTTGTACAGAGCTGGTGACTGTGGCAGACTAGAGTCCAGAACCAGGCTGCTCATGGAACCAGGAAGCTGGAGCCCGAATGTGTCTGAACTCCAGACAGGGATCCATGTCTGGAAATGAGCAAAAACCAAAAAAAAAAAAAAAGCCCCAAAAACACCAATACCCCAAAGCCCCAAGTGAACAGCTTCATGCAGCTAACCCCCAAAGGTCAGATGAGATTCTCAGTGGTGGCTCAGAATAAGTCAGCCTCATCCCTCTTTGCTTTAGCAAAAAGCCCTATGCTTGCCATCTCTGCCAAGCCATGCCCCTCCAGGGAAGAGCCCAGAGGGGGACCCTCTACTTTGGCAGATGACATCCCCTCTGAGGCCAACCTCCTGGGCCCATAGGAGAGCTCCTTTGGCATGTTGGAGGACAAGACGCTGGCAGAAGAAAGGAGGTGGTGAACAATTGCCAGGGAGGCACCTGGCACTTTCTAGAGGGCATCTGGTCAGCATCCCTGGGAACTACAACCTCCTTGTGCTTGCTTGTAGGAAGGAGGTGGTTCTAGCCCTAGGGAGAAAACAATCTTGAAGATTTCCACTCCCTAGGCATCCTCTGCTCCCCTGGGGCCCTGGTCAGGGCACTGGATGAACATGCCACATGCTACAAGGGGCATTTGGTGGGGAGGACCACCAGAGTGGCTTGGACAAGGAGGAAAGTTGGAGATTCCCAGAGGTGCCCAGGTGTGGCCAGCTGCAGTGGATGCTACATTCCTCAAAAAACAGCAGCAATGCTGGGGGAGGCAAAAAGTGGAACAAAAGACAAGACAGAAAACCAAGCAGAGACCACTGAGAGGAGGCACAGGCAAAGATATTCAGGCTCTGCCTAAAGCAGGGGACCAGGCAAGATTGACCAGTGACCATATCCCCCACTTCCACACCTGGAGACTCCTCAAGGTGAGTTATGTCACACAACACTCCTTTGGGTTTCTTTTCAACGAGATACAGAGACATGGATTTCAGTCCATGTGGTCACCAGAACTGACTATACTCAGACAAATGAGCAGACACAATGTGGTCATACACACGGACACATACACACACACATACGCATACACACATATATATGCACACATACACACGTACTACAGTCTCCACTGCTAGCTGGGACAAGCCCAGTAGCCAACAGGCATGCAACAGGGCAAGGGATCCAGAAAGACACAGAGACTATGTACAGGGGGGAAGGTGAGGCCAGCAGGCTCCCTTCTCACACCACCCTGGCCTCTCGTCCTGTCCTGAGCAAGGTCTTTAGGAGCATGAGGGGCTGGTGGCACTCTCCAGGGAGGACTGGGACAGGCGCCTGGTAAGGGATCCGAGTGTAGAGTCGGCCACAGAAGAAGTGGGGAAGAGTTTGTACCAGCCGGTGACCGCAGCACTCAGGTCCAGCTCATCCAGCATGATCTGGGCCATGCCCATGAAGCACTTGTGGTCCATGCGGCCATAGTCTCCCCACACAATCACCTGCCAACAGGGGAGGAAGAGGGAGAAGCTGTGCTGCCCCCTGAAGCTCTAGGACTGAGCAGTAGCCCAGGAAACTACAAGCTTCACTAGGGCACAGATACTAGCACTCAGACTGGGGCAACGACTTTTTGAGCAATTAAGACATGCCAGAATTGATCCTATGGACTTTACATGCATTATTTTGATTGTTATAACCAGCCATGTGGTAGGAGTGCTGTGTATTTCTACTCAGAGGAAGCTGCAGGTCAGAACTAATTACCCCAAAGATACACAGTAGTTTGTCATAGAGCTGAGGTTAAAGCCGGGTGTGTCTAATTCCAGGGCCTTCCAGCATTCTGGTGGATAGCTCTCCCCAGGAAGGAGAAGACTGGAAGTCCAGGGCCTGGGACTTGGCTGTAGCTCTGCTCTTGCTCACTGTGGGTCTTGCCTGAGCCCCTGGCCCTTACTGAGCCTCAGTATTTCCATCTCCAACTCTGGGAAAGGGGACTAGATTAGCTTGGTGATTTTCAAACTTGTGTTTTAAAACCACCCAGTATGAGCCCCTTACCCCAGAACCCTAGGGTTCTGTAGTTCTTTGGTTTGCAACTCCAGAGGCCCTTGTGACAGAACCATCTCAACCCAGAGGAACAGCCTACTATGATTTGGATAAATGTTCCCCAAAGTTCCCTTCATTAAAGGAATAGTACCCAGCTGATGCTATGGAGAGGTGGTGAATCTTTAAGAGGTGGCAGCTAGTGGGAGTGCCTTTGAAGGCGACTGTGAACATGAGACTCTCTTGTTTCCCATCTGCCACGAGATGAATAGCTTCCTCCACTGCACCTTTCTGCCATGATGTGCTGCCTCCCCATGGGCCCAGAAACAACACAGCCAAGTGACGGAGTAAAACCTCCAAAATGGAGCCAAAATAAACCTTTCCTCTTTCTAAGCTGATGATCTCAGGTGTTTTGTTACAAATGGAAAGCTGACTAACACACAACCCAAACCAGAAGTCAGACAGGTCTGACTCTAGCCTCCTCTCTGCCACCTGTGTGGCCTCAGACAGGGCCAACAGCCACCACCATGGTTAATACTTGGTGAGTAGCTGCCTGTGCACCAGGCACTATGTTAGGGCCCTCTTTGTGCAATGTCTCCTTTAATCACAACATACCACCCATAGCTAGTGAGTGTTAAGCCTAAATTTGAACCCAGGACCAAATCCATGGACAGATTCACCATTGTGCCATATGCCCACATGAGCTTGGGTTCTTCATCTATGGGAGAGCAACAGTGAGCCCTTCCTTAAAAGACTATTGTAAAGGACCAACTAGACAAAGTATGCAAAAGGGTTCTGTCACTCTCAAGTAGGTGGACTTGGGTGCTACTCTGCTGGTCACTTGCTGAAACCCCAAGCAAGTCACTTCATCTTTCTGAGATCCTAGCTCCTGATTTGCAAAATTGGGACATGTATACCTACTTCACAGGATGGCCTGGAGGATGACAACAGATTACTCTGGAGAGCACCTAACCCAAAGGCTGGCTCCTACTGGAGGTGAGGCACAATAAACAATAGCACCAGGTAGGAGGAGGAGCCATCCAGCAAACAATCCTGCTTTTCCCTACTAGCTGGGCAGCCTGGGGAGCAACCTTGCTGTCCTTTGAACCTTGGTTTCCTTATGAATCAACTGGGAGCAAGAATACCTCACTGGGTTGTGAAAATAAATGGTAATGCAAATTAATGTACCTGGTACAGTGCTTGCCATAGGATGAAGCACAAATTATGCCTCCCAGTCTTTGAGAGTTTGCCCTAATCCATTCACTCTGTGACACTCACCTGTAGCACCTTGCCCTGGGGCCCCTCATCAAAGAGCAGAGCCTGCTGGTACAGGGGATCACAGGTCTTCTTGGCCACCTTGGTCTTCTTCTTGGCCAAGCAGGCCCCATTCTCAAGCAGGTAAGCCTTGATATAGGTAGCTGAGGGACAAGGAAAAGTATGATGGGACAGTCTAGGAGAGACAGCCATGGTCTGCCCCATCTCCAACCACCAGGATCATCAGATGTGAGCAAGCTGAGTAGAATGGGATGATGAGTGCACGGCTGGCAGAAAAGGCTGATTGATGCAAACACTAACCCCTCTCCTTGCTCACTGGCCTTCCAGTTTTACTGTCAAGAATACTGATTTAGGCCAATGGGGAGCAGAGGGTTTGCTAGACCCAGAGCTCAGCTATACACCCCTCCTTGTCAGGGCCTCATTTTCCAGATCCCTCTTCCAGCTGCTCAGCCTTACCTGGAAGGGATTTGGAGCCTGGTTTGGGGGTCAGCCCCCGAGCTTCAATCACTTCCACCTCCAGCTGGCCACTGCGGTCCATGATGGCAATGTGCACATCTCCTGCAAGGGAGAAGAGGGAAAGTCCAGGCAGAGCTGCATGCTGGAGAAAATGCCAGTGTGCAGAGGATGCTGCAACATTCCCCAAAAGAAACACAGTGGAGCAAGCTGCATCTGTCAGAACTGCTCTCAGGGACTTTTAAAGCAACTGGTTGTGTGCTCTGGCTTTTCCTCATCTGCCGCTGCATGGCAGCCCTGAACCACTCCCTGTGATATATGTCAAATACTGAGAAAGTTCACTATGAAGTGATGCTAAGCTAAGAGCCTGTCTAGGACATGAGGCACCAGGGGAAGAGAAGGTCTTGGGAATTCATTTCCTCCACATCTCACTACAGTGTCCCTAACCAAGAGCCTATGCAAGCCTGTCTTTTCCAGTTTGGGACACAAGGGAGCACCACTCACAAATGTTCTAGACTGTGATGGTGCATCAGCCTTGCGGAAGTGGCTGGCTCTTCTCACTGTTTCCCAATTTATGGCCAAGTAGCAGGGGTAGGGAGGGGGTCCCAAAAAGCCTGAAAGCAAATGCTAGGTATTAGGAAAATCCAACCCCAGAGCCAGAAGAAAGCTGACCTCATTCTAGGGTTCCTGAGGACCTCTCTTCCAGAATGGGCTCCTGTGTGGGCCCTTCCCAGGAAGACAACATAGTGCTGTGGAAAGAGTCCTGGCCTGGAATGCAACCCCAGCTTCACTGTCTGCACTTGCCTTTCCTCTTCTGCTTGAAGGTCAGAGGTCAAGCACTGTCTGGATGGGGGCCGAGCATGGCCATCTCAGCATGGCCATTTGAGCATAGCCATTGGAGCAGACAATGCTCAGGTCAGACTGATGGGGAAGGAAGTAGAAGTGAGGAAGCACCCCTGGGGAAGCCAGCCTGGAGGGAAGCCGCTTAAAGTTAACATTGCCAATACCTAAAAGGTTGGGGGGAGGAGTCAGCCTGAGAACTCATGGAATGAGCCAGACTGCAACTAAAAGGACCAAGTGTACGCTTCAGGAAGACCTTCCTGTGCTGTGGAAAGGATCAGGAATGAGAAAATTACTAAGATTCTGAGGTGCCAGGCACTGTTAGGAACAGGTGGCATCAGCCATAGTTCCTAAGGAATACATTAAAACAACTTCTGCTTCTCCCTACTAGCTGTGCAGCCTGGGGAGCAATCTTGCTGTCCTTTGAACCTTGGTTTCCTTATGAATCAACTGGGAGCAAGAATACCTCACTGGGTTGTGAAAATAAATGGTAATGCAAATTAATGTACCTGGTACAGTGCTTGCCATAGGATGAAGCACAAGTTGTGCCTTCCAGTCTTTGAGAGTTTGCCCTGATCCATTGGCTCTGTGACAATCACCTGTAGCACTAACAGGAGCAACTAACAGGAGCTCAAATATATTGGTGCTAGATTGTACAACTGAAGTATGTATTATTGTTCCCAGCTTACAGATGAGGCAACCGAGGCTCAAGAAAGGAAGTGACTTACTTCTCCAGGGTCATACAGAGAATTAATGAATCAAGTTCAGTCAATGCTGTGAGTATATTTGTTTACACAGCAGGTAGTAAGTAAGTGGGCAGTGAAGTGAGAGGGGCAGGTGCTTGCTCTGCTAACTCCTCCTCACTGGCACAAAAAAACACAGAAGGGCTCCTTTTGCTGTCTGCACCTTGTTGCACAAGGCCCCACTGAGCTCACCATTCCTACCACAGCCACCATCACCAAACTCGCCCTGCCCTCAGCAAGACTCACCCATGGGAGGTGTGGCCAGTGTCTGTCGCCCCACAATCTGGGCAGGTCCAAGCCCATCCAAGAAATCACTGAACTGGCTTTCAGCTCCCAGCCGGGTGGTAGGGAAGATGAACCTGCAGGAGAAGGCAGAGGAGCACGTGACGGAGGGGTGGGGTGTAGTGGCTGTGTCCCTGGGCACTGGGCCCTCCCTCTGTGCCTCAGTTTCTCTTCTACAGTGCAAATGCACTACACTGAGTGGGGACAAACCACTCTTTATCTTTGCATATTGAAGAAAAATATTTTTATGTCACTATAGAGGCTAATAAAAAAAATCTCATACTGATGGTACTTTATCCTCAAGCCCCGGGATTTCTGAGGTAACCCTGAAAAGACAGGGCTCCTTGGACACCTGTGTCCTCACCAGAGGATGTCAATACCAAGAACTAGAGACATTGGTTAGACACTTTAATGCCTGGAGCTAGTTCCAAGAACTGAGGCTTGACTTGACCATAAATTTAAAATCCAAGTCAATAGGGTGAGGTAGTGCCCAAAAAAGCAACAGAGATCAAAATAACACAATTACAAGGTTGAGATGAATGGCAAGTGATGTGGTCGATGGTCCACAGCTGTGGGAAACCTGGAAATAGTAACAAGAAAAACTGACAGTGATTGAGAGCCAGCCAGGTGCATTATATCATTTAATGCTTGTAACCACTCTGTAGTAGGAACTGTCATCCAGTTTCACAGACGAGAAAACAGAGGCTCTGAGAGGTACGAGACTTGCCTTGCTTGCAAAACCAAGATGATGCCCAACTCACAGGGTTATGGTGCAGATTGGGATGGGGGTGTGCAGGAAAAGTGTCACACAAACAATAGACAGTGAAAGGTAGTTATTGTAGCTGCTATTGTCATTGTCAAGAGGGAAGTGCTGCTTTTTCATGTCCTTAAGATTTTGGGCATGGCCATTAGGGAAAGGACAGATGAGAGAGGTTTGGCTCAGGCCTGCTCGAGGGCCACAAGGGGCCAAAGTACTAAGATCTCCTGGCTAGAGGGGTGAAAGGCAGATCAGGAAAAGATCCTCTGTTGGACAGTTTGGCCTGGAGACCCCACTGACCAATGACAGGGAGGGAGAGTTTGGTCTCTCCTCCACTAGGCTCAGCTTCCACCCCCAAGGAGGGACTTCCAGGCAGCCATTTTTCTTGACCATGATCACTTACTATCACATTCTTATACCAATGGGATCAGAGAAGGCTAAATAAAGAAATGGACTCTCACAGAACACTGGGAGCTTCATGAGAGGGTGTGGAGATGAGAGGGAATAAAATCATAGAGTCAAATGACTTTTGTGAAAATGCTCACTCCACCACCATGTAATAGCTGTGACTGTGGATAAAGTGCCTCAGTTTCCTCACTTGTAGATAGAGATAATGCTAGTACCCGCATCCTTCAGGATGGTTGCAAGTGTTAAAGGATCACTGTTAGGCCTGGTGGAGTCACTCAGGTGGTAGATGGTAGAGCTCCTACCTACCTCAGGGCATGAGGCCCTGAGTTCAAACCCAGTACCACCACCAAAAAAACCCCAAATCACTGTTAGTATTCCTGGGCTGATCAGAGAATCACATCAGTGCTCTGAGATGTCTGGTGATGCTCTGAACAAGATAAGATGTGTTAAGTGCTAGTGGCTCCTCACATTCATGGAAGAAGGTACAGTTGGCCTCTGTATCCTTGGGTTCCCAACCCATGGATTCAACCAACTACAGATGGAAAATATGAAGGAAAAAATGTGTGTCTGTGATGAACATACATGTATGTTTTTCTTATCCTTAGTTCATAAATAATACAGTCTATTCTGGGCATGGTGGTAAACACCTGAAATCTGAGTACTTGGGAAGCTGGACAAGAGGATTGAGAGTTCGAGGCCAGTCTGGGCTACACAATGAGACCCTGTTACCTGCCCCTCCAAAAAAAATATAGTCTAACATCTGGGTGCCCGTGGGTCACACCTGTAATCCTAGCTACCTGGGAGGCTGAGACCTTGAGGATCAAGGTTTGAGGACAGCCTGGGCAAATAGTTCTCAAGACCCCATTTCCAAATAACCAGAGCAAAAAGAACTGGAGGTGTGGCTCAGGTGGTAGAGCACCCACTTTGCAAGTGTGAAGTCCTCAATTTTCAAACCCCCAGTTCAACCATTTAAAAAATATAGTCTAACAACTATTTCTATTGCATTTATATTTTATTGGGTATTATTAAGTAACCGAGAGATGATTTGTAGTATACACAGAAATATGTGTGGTTATATGCAAATACTACAACACTTATATAAGGAGCTTGAACATCTGTGGATTTTGTATCTGTAGGGGGTCCTAGAACCAACACCCAGGAATATTGAAGGTTCACTGTATAGTAGTGAGAGACATGATCACTGAATATTAAATAATGGAGCCACAGGCGTATCAGACTGGACACTGCAGGGTCTTGATGAAACAGAAAATCTTAGCCAGAAACTAGTTTACAGATTTAGAGCAGATCTGGGGGAATATTCAGCCCAGTGGCTTTCAAACATCTTGCTGCAAGCCCCATCTAAGAAAAGGATTAAACATCATGACCTATGTATATCTATACATGAAAAACTGAAATGAAAGTTTATAAGGTAACTCATCCTTGTGACACAGGATACCCCAGAGTTTTCTATTTCTTTTTCTAATGCTGGTTTTAATATACTACGGCAATTTTACTTCCTGCCTATGAGTCACCACCAACAGTTTGAAAAACACGGATCTGGTCCAACCTCCTTCCCTAAGCTACAAACAGGCTCCTTGTGAAAACTCCACTCATTTGAGGCATGACAATGGTTTTCGACTTACAAAGTATTTTCCTTTCCACCCTCCTCCTCTGCAGCAGGGCGGTAAGTAGGTGGTGGGAGGTGGGAAGCAAGGGTTCCTTCCTAAAATAAACAGAAGGAATAAAGTACTCGTGGGCCTCTGGGATATTCCAGTGGGAGCAATGGGAAAACCTAGGGCTCAGGCATGAAACGTCTAGAGGAGGGTAAAGGGAGGCAGAGGCTGAAAACCAAATGCGCAGAACTTCCCTCCCTGCCTGAGTGATGGAGGAGGAGGAGGAGGGCACACGCACATGCCGTCCGAGCTGTTGCTGTTGGTGCTCCCATCAGTGGACTCACGGCTGCCCTGGCGCGTGACTCGACTCCGCATCTCCACCGCGATGCCAGTCTCCGTGCTCCGCCGGATGTTGCTGCGCAGCTTCTTGGTGGCCCCTTCTGGCAACCCCAGACCCCAAGAAGAGAGAGGGAACAAGGTCAGCCCGTGGCTGAGGGTTCTCGGAAAATACTGCCAAATTACCCTCTGGGCAGACAGAGTTCTAACTATAGGCAGGACATCTAAGCTGACACCAGTGCTGGTCTGCAGCATGAAGCCTAGCCCGCCCAGGGCAGTGACACACAAAGCAGACTAGAAAGATGGCTGGATACAGAGGTGGAATGGAGCTGGGGAGGTGGGGGGCCACCAGGCAGAGCCCCAGCCGGGCAGCCCTTGGGGCCCTGTCTTTCTTCTCCCAGGCTGCTCTGACATTTATTTCAACCCTTGCTCCAAACTTGTGCTCCTCCTTTCTCTTCTGGAAGGTTTGTCTTTTCTGGGACTCCCAGATTTACTTTCCCTCTTCCAGGTACCCTCAGTAACCTCCATCCCATAACCTGCCTCTCTGATGCCTTCATATAAAAACCCATGAAGCCTTCTCTAGGTGGGTCTTTATATGCAGAGGGATGTGAGTGGTATGCTGGAGAAGCCTTCAGGGAGCAAGACTGTGAGAGGGACTGCCAGCTTGACCTGGATTGACTTTGGCTTTGAGAGAAAGGTCTGCAGAAGAGCCCCAGAGGCAGTGCACTGTTAGCCCACCCCAACCCCCACACCCGTGTCTCTGTACCTCCTATTTAGGGCCCACAGCCCCCTCCTCAGCCTAGCAGGGAACACAGTGTACCAGCCTGCCTGGTTTCCATGGCAACCTTCTTAGCATTGCAGCATGGTCCCTCTAGACTTGCTCTCCTCCTGGGTGGGAGGGGTGGGGGAACAGGGGATAAGTTAGGGATATGCAGGGACTTCCCCTTCTTGCCTGATGGAGGAACTTGATGAGGAGAGAAGTGACTCTCTGATAGGAACTGAGCCATTTGCTGTCACTAGCTAGAGGCCCAAGAAAATTAAGAGTGGAGTTATCTACAAAAGTGGGGAGAGGCCTGGGACAAGGCAGGCACCATAGCCCTGAAAGCAATGTCAATAGGAAAGCTGATTACCCGAGCAATCACCTCTCCTGCCCCATCCAGTGGTGGTTGGGGAAGAAATGTTCAAGACCCCAGCCTGGGAAAAGGAAGACTTTATTCCTTCTGCTTTGTCCTACTTATCTTTCAGGAAGTCCCCACTAGAGGAGGGAAGGCTGAGAGGACTAGCATCACAGTGGATGAGATATTGGTAGAGTGGAGGTGATAAGAACAGAGGAATATCTTCTCTAAAATCAGTTCAACTGAGGAATAGCTAGCCTACTCAGGAATCAAGGAGATCATCGATCTGTCTATCTGTCTGTCTCTCTCTCTCTCACACACACTCACATGGTCACTTTAGCTCACACTAAGGTGTATAAAGCACATAAAGTGCGTATGCCCTGTCTGTGTATTCCTTTCACACAGACAGGCATAAGCAGATACATACAAGTGCTGACGTCACATACATGAATGTAAAAATCTCACGTACAAGATGTGTTACGTTTATACAAAGACACACAATCACGAACGGGCCCACCAGATCTTAGTCATGTGTAAACAATGTCCTGTCAAATAGTCAGGTCACATACATGTAATCTTCACACCAAAATACTTCACATTGAACTCATCTGGTCAAACACACAATGAGGCAAACACACACATGGTGTATGACCCACCACACAAGAGGGCTGGGTAAAATGGTGGGTGCAGGAGAACTCTCCCTGTCCCTGGCTCTTGACACCTCCCCTCTAACCCAGTTAGAAGACAGATGGCTGTGGGGGCTGCAAGTCACCCTCCCTCCCCCTCACATCCTGAACACACACTCTTTTAGAGTTTGGGGAAGCTTTGACCCATTTGGGAGTGAAATTGACTTCTTAGATAAGACTTGCCCAACCCAATGTGAGTCCTTGAGTGGCAGACTTACAGAATCCTGCAGTATAACCCTTCAGGTACTTCTCCAGCCCCCTCCACCATTTCACAGATGGGGAACCTGATGTCCTTGAGCCAAAAGAGTTAGAACTAGACACCAGTCCCTCAGACTCAGTCTGCTGACATGGTACTTCTCTTCCCCCTCCCAATGCTCCATCTATTTGAAATGTGACTCTGCAAAGATTAAAGTTCCATATCTTCAGGGTAAGGGGAAAGGTCAAGTCTTATAAACTCAGAGACAAAGTCCTCTACTGGCTTCATATCTGTCCAGTTTCAACCCCTGTTGATCCAGGGAAAAACTTTGTATAGCTTCTTTCTAGCAAACCCAGACAAGTTACTTGCAAATAATTTGTGATCCCTGGAGACAGACTCCAGGAACCATCCCATCTGTCCTATCACATACAAGGAACAGTCACAGCTGGCAGCAACACTTGGACAGTATCCCTGAGCCTCTGACCCAGAAGCCAGAGAGAGCCCAGGAGGGAAGGGGTGCTGACCTTGGTACTGAAAAGACAAGCGCCATCTGCACAGGACTTGGGTTAGCTCAGGATGTTCCAGAATGGATCCAGCCTAGTGCCAGGCCAGAATTCACCTGTGCCCTGGGACTCCAAAGCTCTGACCCCACCCCTCATTGCTCCTGCAATTTAAGAGAATGATAAATCTCATTCTCATGGGAGAGAGCATTTTTAGCTCCATTTTACAGAAAAGGAAACTGAGACCCAGTGAGAAAGTGATTTTCCAAAGGTCCCATGGAGAGTTACAGAAGCAGAATTAGCCTGCTAAAAAGCCAGTAGGGTGAGTTTTTGGCATCCATTCTAGGACAGCACAAGGAATAAACTGCAAGGGAGCAGAGAGTAAGGGAAACTAGAGTGCAATAGTCAGGCTAATCATGATATGGGGCCTGAACTGAGAGAGGCTTTGAAACAAAGAGGGATGGACAGGACTACAGCCAATGCAGGTTACAGAAAAACTAGGAGGAAGAGGAACCCTGGCAAGGGCAGGCCCAGAACCCAGAAGACAGCATCCAGGAGAGGAATTCCAACTCCACACAGTCCAGTTCTGCAGAGAACCAAACCATCCCATCTGGGGCAACAGGGAGCACTCTTCTGGGATCTTTTATCAGAACAGTGATTCTAGGACCAACACCCATGATGAGATGGGCCTCATATATCCTTGTGGTGCCAGACTCTTACACCAGAATGAGGCTTTAAGCTGGGACCCTGGCATACTCAAGACTTGGGAGAAAAAAATAGGAAATATATAGATGGGAGAGGGGTGTGCCACAGGGAAGGCGCAAAGGTGTGGAGCTGAAGAGCTCACTTCTCTTTTGGCTGTACTGTGACCATGGGCAATAATAACAGCACTGACACTTTGCTGGGTGTGTCCCATGTGCCAGGCACGAGGAAGCTGGGCACCTTTGCAAACACTATCTCATTTAATTCCCAGGACAGCTCTGCAAGGCCTGTATTATTGTCCTTATTCTACAGTCAAGGAGTAGGCTGAGAGAGATGCAACTTGCCGGATCACCCAGCTAGCAAATGACAGGGTATGGACCTGAGGGCCAGCCTGAGGTTGTTCTCCAGGGAAGAGCCTTTTCCCCAGGCTCTGGATGCCTCATTGATAAATGAGTACACACTGAATGACCTCGAGGGCCCTTCCTGCTCTGACATTCAGTGATTAGATGATTCACAGGGACCTGCAGTTAGAAGGGCATCTGGGCAATTCCCCTGGCCCTAGGTCCCAGACCTTCAGCCCTGTCCTTACACACCATGGAGACAAGGGATCCAGAAACCCCATCATCATTCATCTCTTCCCCAGGCAAAAGGTCTTCCTGGCGTCTGCTCCCATCCCAGACGTCGAGGCAGACTGCTGCAATGTCTCCCAGTGACTCAGGCCCTGGGCTTGGCCTCAGAACACTGTCTCTCCCAATCACTCTGGGTCTGAAGCTGGATTCCCAAGCTTGGTCTCCCAGAGTCAGACCCCTGGGGTCCAACACCTCCATAACCTCCTATTCTTAATTCCCTAGATCTAACCCTACCCTTTGGTCCTACCCCAGATCTCCCTGTCCCAACCCAAGTCCTGGACCCCCAAATACCCACCTCCATAACTCCTTCATTCCTGGCCTACACTGCTCACCCTGAGGCACTAATAACTTCAAGTCCCCTCTCCATGAAGTCCCTCCCTGAGCAGAAACCACATGGCAGTGTGACTGCTGGAAAAGACCATGCAGGTGCTCCTGTGGAGGGCTTTGTAACAATCTATTTTAAGGCCTGGAGAAGGCCCCCCTCCCCAGCCCCAGTGGGAGCTTGATGAACATCCTTCCTGCATCCTCTATGCCCTGCCCCTCCCATCCCCATCCAGCTGCCTATTTGAAGGTTTCTTGGGGAAGTTGTTACTCTGAGCAAAATAAGCAGGAAGAAATTTTAAAACAAAGCCAGCTGGTGTCTGGACCAGTGCCACAAAGTGAGGGGGTCTGGGTGTAGGGCTGGCTCCTCTGTGATGTGGGATTCACATGTGGCTATGTGTGACAAGGTGGAGTCCTCAGAGGATTACTCAATCAGTACATGCACTGGCCCTAGAACAGTGCCTGCCATCTAGGAAGCAGGTAAGTGTGTGGGGTGTGGGGTGCATATCTACCTATTCAGTCCCTAGGGTCTCACAGCAAAACATCCCCGCCCCACACCCCCCATCCTCTTGCCTCACAACCCTCTGGTGCCCACACCCCTTACCAGGCTGAGGGAGCTGCAGTGTGCTCTTGCTCCACTGGGTCAGGCCCACAATGGCCACCATCTTGGCACCCAGGCTGCTGCGCCGCTTCTTGGCTGTGGTGGTCCCAGTCCCACCCCCAGCTTGCTGGGATCCGCCGATTTCACCACTGATGCTGGAGCTCCGCACCACATTCCTGGAGGTCCCAGCTGAGGCTGGACCAGGCTCTCCGTTAAACATGGTCCCCCAGGCGGTAGGGTCTCAGGCAACTCTGAAGGTGGGTGGGAGACAAAAGGATTCCACATGAGACTCAGCAACTCTGGACTCTACTGCAGTCCCACTGCTTCCCAGCCAAGTGACTTTGGGCAAGTCACTTGGCCTCTCTGAGGCTGTAAGGACGAAATGAACAAATCAATCTCAAGGACATACACACAATCTAATTCAATACACAAGACCATTTGGCTTGCCTATTGTGCTGGAGACCCTGGGGATGGAGCCCATGCCTCAAAACAAAAGCAAACAAACAAACACAAAAAACCCTCACAGGACTATTCTTATTAGCACATGGTGTGAAGAGGGTGGTGAAGACCAAGGCTGTGGAGTCAGATGGCCTGGGCTTGAATTCCAAAGGCCTCTACATACTAGCTAGGTGACCTGTGAGCAGGCACCTTGGGGTTTCAGTGGACATCTCAGGAAAATGAGAAATGAAAGTCCTTACCTCATAGGATTACTGTAAGGATTAAATTAGATACTGCATGTAGGATGTCAAGAACAATGATGAGCCATGGAGAGAATACCCAGTACATGTAGGGATGATTACTCTCATAGCAAATAATAAGAGCAAAGACAAAACAGGCTCCGGTCTGTGCAGACTGTGGAGGGGTGTCCCTATGGGAACAGGCTGGTCCAGAAATGTCTAAAGCAGCAGCAAAATTCACCCTTTGCTGCACTGCTGAGAGGTGGCCACCATCAGCACCTTTCTGTGCACTTAAAAAATAATTGGACTCATACTGTAAATACAATTTTAAATTCTGGCATTTTTCATCTAACAATATATTAGTATTTCCCAGTGTCATTAACACTTTGCATAAATGTTTTAATGCCACCATAATAATCCATAGTATAAAAAAAATAATCCATAGTATAGAGGTAGCATAATTGACTTAAATATTTCAATACAGTTACCTCTTGAATCAAGTCCAAGTTCCTCTCCCCTCCCCTCCCCTCCCCTCCCCTCCCCTCCTCTTTCCTTCCTTCCTTTTATCTCCCCCCCCCTTAGATAAACACTGAAAAAACATTTTTCTACACTGGTTTTGTCTGCTGATTTCCTTAGAATTGGCTCCTAGAAATTGACTGACTAGATGGGCAGGTGTGAGTACTGCTAGGAGCTTCTCCAACACCCAGCCCCTTCCTGCTGCTTGGCAGAGTAGTGATTTGTTCAGGGCCACCCTGGCCCTTCTTTCAGACATTATTTTAAGGCTATCAGTAAATGGCTTTCTCCTCGGCAACTCTCACTTGTCCAAGAGTGGGCATATGACTATTTGGTATTATTTGTTTACAGGGAAAGTTTTGGATTTCATGCTTACAAGAGAGGTGAGCCTGTCTGTCTCTGTCTCCCTCCTCCCTCCCTCTCTCCTTCCTTGTTTGCCTCTTCTGTTTCTCCCTCTCCCTTTCTCCTTCTGTCCTTCCCTCCTTCCCAAGACCCCCTTCCCCCAGAGGATTCCAGACCCAGGAATCCAGGGTATGTTGCATACCATAGGTGTATACACCTGGAGTCTGCCTTTTTCTGATCTTTCAGTTCTGAGAGACACTCTATTCTCCACTGCTTAAGCCAGTTTGAATCAGAGTTCTATTACATCCAAACACATCCTTCCTGATACTGAGGGCATAATGTTTTTCAACTATATTGCCAAATTCCTTTCCAAAGTATGGAGATATACTCTTCTCATTAGCTGCATTCAACAAACATTTAATTTCCTAAAATTTCAAGGCCAATTCTGAGTGCCAGCTTGGTCCTGCCCTCCCATGGCCTCCAGTCCAGAAGGGGAGACAGACAGTAAATAACTAATTATACCATTAAATATTTAATGGTGGTTACGATAAGTGCTGGGGAAGAGGAGGACAGAGGGCTCTAAGAACCTTCTGGGGGAGGGGACAAGAGGCCTCTGCGGCCTTGTTTTGCACGGGGAGGGCGGGGGTGGAAGGTGTCTCCAGTTGTCAGGCGCTACAACTTGGCTGATGTTGCTCCTCTGCTCAGGCTGAATAGAGGAAGCCACCGCCCCAGCATGCTCTGCACCCAGCATCCTCCTGGCTCTGTCCCAGCCCACAGTTCTCTTCATGGGGCAGCTGCGCACCCCAAACTTCAGGGCACTTTGCGTGACCCTTTGTCCTCGGCCTATCACCCTGAGAGAATCTGACTTTTCTGAAGGACATAAAAAGGGGAAGAGAGATGGGGTCATGAGAAGGCACCACTCTGGTTGGTGAGGAAGACGGTCCCCAAACAGCTGAGAATGGTCACCTGGTTAGTCTCCGGGTCAGCATGACTCCTGCTGGCCTAGAGAATTAAGGCTGACAGAGGGGATGAGTCAAAGCTTTGTTTTGCCTTCTTCATGGCTGTCTGGACTGTTCTCACTCACCCTGTGACGTGTGCAGAGTCCCGGATTGTATTTCTCTATTCCCCATCAACCTTGCAGCTAATGGAAAGTCCCCCTGGACTATGGCCTATGGTGATCTCTTCTCTTAGTTTCCAATTCTGGTGCCAGTTTGCATGGTCTTTTGGTGGAAGATGGGGCAGAGCTTATCTGATATTGTGACTTTGCCACAGTGTGAGGCTAATTTGCTCATTATACTACTTTTGTGAGGCACTTCATTATTTTGGCAGATGAGAAGACTGAGTGTCAAAGAAATAAAGGACTTGCCTATCCTTCTTAGCTAGGAAGCAGTAAGGCTTGAATTTGAACACAGTTCTCTTGATTCCACAAAGAGGCAGCAGCCCCTGTCCCTCAACCCAGAGCTCATCCAAAGGTAGGCACTTATTCTTCAAGCCCCATGATGAGAAAATCCTGTCTCTGGCCCAGCTTCCCTCAGCTATCAGGAGCATCTAAGTGGTGGAATCCCCCAGATCATAGCTGGAACAGCAAGTGCTTCCCTGGTAAGCCTCCAGGATGCTTGAGCATCACCCCAGGGGTGACAAGGAACAGGGGAAGGGACAGAATTCCTGACCCTGCCAACCTGGGAGCTCATGTTTCCTCATGAATAATGAAGGCTCTGACAAGCAGATGGCTTGACATCCATAGCTCTGCACTATACACAGCTACTTTCTCATCTTCAATCACCCAGGGACCATCCAGGGGACCTGGAGAACTGATGAATGCTTGGGGGAACCCAACCTGGAGAACTGATGAATGCTTGGGGGAACCCAGCCTTCTGGCCACTCCCCAAGGGAGCAGGAGGATCCAGACCCAAAGTACTAGACCCACAGTCCTAAGGCCTGAGCCTCTGGTGCAGGGGTCGTGGAAGGGCAGGCAGACTGAGAGGGTTAGAAATCAGGACATAAGATTAGAATATGAACAGATTCTTCATGTATACTTCTCTGGGCCTTGGCTTCCTCATCTGTGTGTTAAAAAAGAGGTCAGATTAGGTGCTCTGGAAAAGTCCTGCTGACAGGAGAGCTGAGTCTGTAAATGTGTACTGCAGGGAGAGCTCAAAACTGGGGCTTGAGCTCCTTCTCTGGCAGCCAGTCTAGCTCAGAAAGGGCAAGCCAGAGATAGAGACAAAGATGGCCACCTGGCCCCTCTAAGGAGGGAAGTGCACTGCATAGCACTTCCTGAGCCATCAGACAACAGCGATGGGAGTGGAGATGAGGGCAGAGTGGTAAGGGGCTGGCGGGACACAGAATACAGCATGTCATATACTGGTGGCTCTAAACCATTGCTGAATGAACTGCACCCTTTGCAGGAAAAGTCACTTTGACAATTCCCCTGCCTCTGAGCAGGACTGTCCCTTTTCCTGCCCAGTTTATGTACCTCAAGGGAACGTTCCTATGATCTCACTGGGCCACAGAGACCTCCCTCTAAAGTTCTCCGCACTAACTCCCACCCACTACTGTGGCAGCAAAGGAGCCGGGTCTCATTTATCATTCAGGAAGAAGGGGCTACTCCCCTCCCTCCTGCCCAAACTAAAGAGACATCTTCTAAGCTCCCTGGAAATAGGCCCAGTGTGTCCAACCTTCAGTTGCTATTTCTGCCTGGGGTTTCACTACGCTAAAGGCTCTCCAGCCTTGTCCTGAATCTGGATGACAGCAGGTTTCAGGCCCTGACAGGCTTCCTGGGCTCGTTGGCCCCTTTGACCATGTGTCTAGCCAGTTCATGAGGTTTTTTTGATAGTCAATGAGGCACCTGAAAGCCCAAGATGAACCCAGCCACCCACCCTTTCAACAGGAAAGACCAAGGAATTCATCACAGGGTGTTGGTCAGGCTGTTAGGGACTGAGGCTCCTACCACCTTTCCTTGCTCTCTATCTACAGCGGACATCCCCTAGTCCATCTCTTTCCCATAGTCAGAATCCTCTCACCACAATGGTCCAGCTGATTAAGAACAAGCTCATGAGCTTAAAACAGACTCACCATCTCTATTCTGGCCTGAGCCTTTCATTTTGTAGAGCAGGAAATCAAGACCCCAAATGGGGAAGAGACACATCCAGGGTCATACAGAAAGTTGGTGGTAAAAACAGAGTTCCAACCCAAGTCTCCTCAATCCCAGGCCCAGACTGCCTGTCAGGTACTCCCTCCCCACCCTTCACTTGGAAGAAAACCCAAACTCACCGAACTGATGAATCTGAGCGTGGAGTTCTGCATCACAGGGGGCTGTGCCCCTCCCAACAGCACACCCCTAGGGCATTTACACAAGGCTTCACTTATGCTGAGACACCAATTTTCAGTAACCGAGGTGAAGGCAATCAGGGCAGGCTCCCAGGAGGAGATGATGTGATAATAGGGTCTGGAAGGGAAGATTTGAGCTCAGAGGAAGGGCTACTGAAGACATGTGTCCTCAAGGGCTTCTAGTAGCTTATGGAGTGAAAAGACAGATTTTGGATTTCTGTACTTTCTCCTTTGTAAAACTACAGTCTCCTAATCTGCCTTTAGGCACTTTAATGTCAACCTGCTGAAGCCCTGCAACTTCAAGATTTTTAGAGATGGAGGTATAGCTCTGTGGCAGAGTGCCTGCCTAGCATATGTGAGG